AGCAGAGTTCCAGTATCTCAGGGGCTGCCACAAAGAAGAGGGAGTCAAGCTATTCTTCAAAGCGCCTGAAGGCAGGACAAGAAGCAACGGATGGAAACTAACCAAGGAGAGAAGCAACCTAGAACTAAGGAGAAAATTCCTGACAGTTAGAACAATTAACCAGTGGAACAACCTGTCTCCAGAAGCGGTGAATGCTCCAACACGGGAAGTTTTTAAGAAGAGACTAGACAGCCATTTGTCTGAAATTGTATAGGGTTTCCTGCTTGAGCAGGGAGTTGGATTAGATGACCTCCAAGGTCCCTTCCAACGTTGTTGTTGTTGTTATTATTATTATATGAAAAAACCCAAGAAAATCCAGTTACCTTTTGGAAAAGCACCTCTGGGACAACCATGGATGTTTGAAAATATCCAGAGTCATCCTCACAGCTTTGTGTCAGTCTCCAAACTTGGGGATAGCCTCCAGAGGCTTGCAGAAGTCTCCACCAGATCACAGTTTTTAACTCTTAACTGAACGGAAAATGCAGACCAGGAAACTTGGGCGACCTCAAATTTTATCTTAACAAAACAGAGATCACCAACCATAGAAAACAGATAATGGGGGGGGGGGAGGGAAATGAATAGGAAAAAAAAATCACCCAAAGAGAAAGCAAGACAGCCAGATATTCAGCAAGAGCTACTCTTCAAGTACAAAATTGAAGAGTACAAAATTATAACCTTATCCTGAAATAGACATAGTATAGGATGAAAAGATGTAATAGTTACAGTGGGTACAGGGGAAAGACTGCATATTTATAGAAACAGAAGCACTCTGGGTTGCGCCAAATAGCTCTTCTTTTGCAAGAAAAAGGATTAACTGGCCTTATTTCGAAAGTAAGTATAAATGCACATATGCGGTGCTTTGCAGTTAAAAAAGTTATATAAGAAAACAGAATGGGGGCAGAAGAGAAAACCGGGTGGGTGTATCTAGCTAAGATGTTAAAATTTTGATCAGTGTCAGGGGGAAGACTGCTTACACTTTTAATCTACCATAATACCAACAAGCAAAGGACTGCAATTTTTTTTTACAGTGCTAAAAAAATAAGCATATTTCAATCTCTTTGGACCAAGGCCAGACTCTGACGTGAGGATGGTATTTCCAAGACAGCCTGAAAAAAAAAAAAAAAAACAGCTGAGGAGAGGAGAAAGAATGAACAGATCCAAGAAAGGACTAGCTTTGCTTTAATTTGCATTTTTAAAATCATTCCAAATTAATTTACATAATTTATGGCTTCATAGCAAGAACAAACTGCTTTAGGTCAAGAACAAACATCTTTAAGGGCACAAAGCTGAATTAAACGATGAAGGAAGGAGACCATCGATTAAACGAGGATCTGGCTGAAGGATCTGACTCTCCCTTATATTATTTGGAGGACCCTGGATACGTTAAGGGTTGGAGTGCCTAAATATAAAACCAACAGACTCAAGTAGAGGATCTTAGAAGATAACAACATGCCAGGTGAATGTGGAAAGAAGCAGAGCCCAGCCCATCTCCTGGTATGTCAGGTATGTAGTAGTAACTATGAGAGGGATCTCGGCGTCCTAGTGGACAATCACTAAAATATGAGCCAGCAGTGTGCTGCAGCTGCCAAAAAAGCCAACACAGTGCTAGGCTGCATTAACAGAGGGATAGAATCAAGATCACGTGAAGTATTAATACCATTTACAATGCCTTGGTAAGGCCACACTTGGAATACTGCATCCAGTTTTGGTCACCACGATGTAAAAAAGATGTTGAGACTCTAGAAAAAGTGCAGAGCAACAAAGATGATCAGGGGACTGGAGGCTAAAACATATAAGGAATGGTTGCTGGAATTGGGTATGTCTAGTTTAATGAAGAGAAGGACGAGGGGGGACATGATAGCAGTGGAATGGGCGGCAGCCAAGGTAAGCCTAGCGGGGCAGCGGCGGGTGCAGGGAGGGTTGCTGGCGCGCATGGGGCCCGGCGGGTGCCATACCTGCCTTGGGCTGGGCCAGCTGGTGGCCCAGCCGGTGGTCGCTCTGCCTGCCACAGCCGCCCGGGAGCGCCCGGGCCTGCCTACCGCCGCCCCTTGGCGGTTATGCCTCAGCCGGCGCAGGGGGAGGCACCACGCATGCGCGGCGCTCCTGGGCCGGTAGTCCTCGACTTACGACCGGGGTCACGGCTATAAAAAGGTTGAGAACCGGGGTCACGGCTATAAAAAGGTTGAGAACCACTGCCATATAATCTCTTTTTAATATATTGTAAGGGTTCATTCACACATTATTGACCTTTAAATTCCTTCTCCAAGTCTTTGTTTGGTAGTGAGCTCCATGCTTACAACTACAGGTAGACGACCGATTGGGCAATGCAAAGAATGGGCTGGCTATTTTGAGGATTTCAGGTGCAGCCCACATTTGGCAGTGCTGGCACCAGTCCCATCTCCTCTTGCATTAGATCTGGTGGGTTTCAACCTGTCCTGTAGCTTAGCAGCTCAAGATTTTGCAGGGTATTTGAATTCGGAGCGGCGCAGTGGATCAGTGCTTAAATTACTGGGCTTCTCAGTTGGAAAGCCAACAGCCCAAAGTTCGAGACCCTAGCGTCATGCGAAGGGGTGAACCCCCGTCCTTGCCCCAGCTCCTGCCAACCTAACAGCTCAAAAGGATGCAAATGCGAGTAGATAAATAGATACCACTTTGGTGGGAAGGTAACAGTACTCCGTAATGTCATGCTGACCTAATGACCATGAAAATGTCTTCGGACAGCGCTGGCTCCATAGCCCTTGAAATGGAGATGAGCACCATCCCTTATAGCGGGGGTAAGCAACCTTGGCTCTTTTATGACTCGTGGACTTCAACTCCCAGAATTCCTGAGCCATCATGGGGGAACTTTGGCCCCTTCATGACTCGTGGACTTCAAGTCCCAGAATTTCTGGGAGTTGAAGTCCATGAGTCATAAAAGAGCCAAGGTTGCCTACCCCTGCCCTCTAGTCAGCAATGAATTACGGAGTAAAATCCACGGGGATTCCTTTGAATTCTGAAGGAAACTGCTCACATTCTGCTGTATGGGAGGTGAACATAAATCTTTCTGCAGGGAATAAATCTTGGTTCTCTGTCTGCCAGCTTGCCAAAGCCGTGAGGCTTTTGAAAAATCACACCCAGGCCGTTTGCATAATTTTTAGATGCTGATGCTGAAACACCCCCCCCCCCAGATTCCAGACAATAATAAAACAAGGGACATGTAATCTCCCAAACACTTTAACCAAAATATGCACAGACATGAAATGAAAGTTTACAAATATAGACGATGACTTCACTTCTTACACAAAGATAACACACTGTGAGTATAAACGATAGCTCCAGGTGGGTTGTTTTGAAAAGAAGAATCTAAGCATGAGTCAGTTTCAGTGTGTAGAACTCCAGAATTTCAGCTACTTCATTGTATTTCACTCCTGTTTTGGATAGTTAATTTGGCTATTTTGAACTCTTGTTTGTTTAGACAGGGAAATTATTTCAGAATTCAGAGAGGCAAATGCATCTAGTATTGTATACAGTATATAGCAGGGGTCCCCAATTCCTAGACCAGTGATGGCGAACCTTTTAGAGACTGAGTGCCCAAAACCCGCCCCCTCCCTGCCCCCACTCTGCCCCATCCCCCTGCCCTGCCCCCATCCCATCCCCACCCCCCGCAAGGCCACCCACCACCTCCACAGCCCACCGCAGATCATCCAGGCATCCCAGCAGCGCCATAGCGGCCACACCTTCTGACCGCACCCCGCAGCATCAACTACGCACGACGGGGCGCAAGGGTGGAATCTTGTCCCTACTGCCCAGCTGCCATGTCCTTGGCTGTGCTGCTCCATGCGGGCCGTGCTCGAGGGCGACTCTCCTCCAGGGGGGGCTGCTGGTGAGGAGGGGGCCATAGGGGGAGGCGGGGCTGGGGCAATGGCGTGTGTGCCCACAGAGAGAGTTCTGAGTGCCACCTCTGGCACGCGTGCCATAGGTTTACCACCAATGCTCTAGGCCATGGCCTGGTACCAGGCTGTGGCCGCTTGGGAACCGGGTTGTGCAAGCAGCAGGCAAGTGCATGAAGCTCCATTTGTGCAAGGTGGGTGCATGAGCGAAACCATCCCCCCTCCCCCACCATTGCAGGTCCACAGAGCTGGAAAGGTTTGGGACCACTGATCTAGTAATGTGCAAATTACATTTTTTCCCCCTGCTTGTACTTCTCAGTAGGAGAAACTTCATACAGAGTTGAGACTCGGGCCTCATTTATAGATATCTTATTTAGCCACATGTTTGGCTCCTGAAATGTTACATGTTTCAAGCACAAGTTCAAGGGCTAAAAATTTCCCTTTTAAATACCAAAACTGGGAATCATGTGAGCTTTTGACCCACGTTGAGTCCACATAATTGGCTCTGACTATCATATTCCAGTATTCACCCCTCTTTTTTTGAAGCATGTTGATGCAAACCAATTTCAAATCAGCTGAGATGACAGATGAGTCATTTCATTTCTTAACATACCCTATAACAATGGTTCTCAACCTGTGGGTCAGGACCCCATTTGGGGTCGAACGACCATTTCACGGGGGTCGCCAAACAACGCCGTCCGCCATTTTTTTCCCCCTTTTCCTTAGCTGTGCTACTCCCTTTTATTCTATTGGCTTTTGAAAGCCAATAGAATAGGCTCTCTTGAATAGAGTCTAATTCTATTGGCTTTCAAAAGCCAATAGGAATTGTACAGGTTGTCTCTGCCCTGCTGAGCCTGCCAAAAGTCCCATTCTGCAAACGGTGCTGCACCAGTTGAGTAGTCCTCAACTTACGACCGGTTGGGGGTTGCGGCATTAAAAAGGTTGAGAACCACTGCCCTATAAGATTGTGGTTGATTGTATACAGGCTGCTAGAAAGACAATTCTGCTCACAACATTCTGACTTTAAAATGCCTCTTTTTCCTTCTTATTCGGCCTAGGAACTGAAGAAGAAACAGACAATTCGCTCCTTACCTGTTATTAATTATGCTGGGATTTGCAGTTACCAGTTGAGTTTTTGATCCTACATCATTGCTGTATGCATTGCCTAGTGGAGCAAGATTACATCTGAAAGGAAGAAAAAGAAAGGCATATTATAATACATTATACTTATGTGCATTAGTGTATTTGAGGGGTCATTGGTGCTCTCTGAGCTTGCTTGTTTTCTTGCAGATGTAACCTACCCAAAATAGGTTACATCATTAGACTATGGAAAAGGGACCATCACAGCGCAAAAAGGAACAAAAAGACCCAAGCATCGCTCCATCAGCAATCAGCACCCAGATCAGCATAGATTAACTCCAAGGTTAACATCAGACTAACAATCAGGTAAACAAAACCCCAATCAAGAAACTGCTAAAGAAGCCAACAGCCAACAGCCCAATCAAAGAATCTGCCCCCACCAACACTGACAGGCAAGCCCCTAGAATACAAAACTGACAGCAAACCACACTCCTTACTAGCACTGATGATGTTATCTAGTTGGGTAATGAAACGTTTGCAAGAAAACAAGCAAGCTCAGAGAGCACCAAGGACCCCTCATTTCAACTCCGAGCTACTAATATTCTCTTTCATTAATATTCATGTATTTCTTCCAAGTCAAAAATCTATTGAGAAAAAGGTTTTTCCCACTGAGGCAAGTAAACCTACTGCCTCAGCTGGGACTGGTAACTCTAATGTTAAGTGAAAAGCCATGTCGCGGCACTGGACTTGTGACATCACTTCTGTTGTGGCTGTTAAGCAAATCATCACAGGTCATTAAATGCCACATCGCATGACCACAACTTGCAGTTTCACTGCTGGCTTCTCTATTGACTCTGCTCGTCAGAAACCAGCAACTGAAACTCATACATGGCAACCATATGACTGCAGGATGCTATAAACATCATAAACACATGCCCGTTGTGAAGCACCCAAAGGGTGATCGTGTGATCATGGGCACACTGCAACAGCTGCAAATTTAAGAAGCGGTCATAAACCAACTTTTTCAGCACTGTCATAACTTCAAACAGTCACTGAACAAGCATTCAGTAAGACAGGACTACTTGTTTAACTGGACATGGACAAGGAGATGATAATAGTGCAGTATTACCGCACATGTCTTGAACACAGAAAAATCTGCATTTAGCCTTTGATAGACCGAGATAGGTCTGAGAACAAGTTACTATATGGAAGATAAACACTAAGGAGGTTGAAACAGTGATATAATATGGAAATGATGACAGTACACATTGGTCTGCATATCAATCTTTGGTATGTCCAATAAAAAAGAGTTGGATCAGAGGTGATGGGAAGGGTTATTGTCTGAAATCCTTTTTTCCAGTGCCCTTGTAACTTTGAACAGTCACTCAATAGAATGCATTGGAATGGAATGGAATAGAATAGAATGCATTGGAATGGAATGGAATGGAATGGAACAGAATGGAATAGAACAGAATAGAACAATAACTTTATTGTCACCTTGAATGTACACTAATTGGCATACATTAAAATGAAATTTCATTGCATACAGCTCTCAAAGGGTCACCACCTCTGATATACGCTACATAAATATGACAAAAATAAATAAATAAATACAGAATTATGCATATACCCACATATATTATATGACACAGAGAAGCAACAGTCTAGTTCGGGTCATGTATACATGTACATGATGAGAAAAACGAATTTTGTGAGTTTACCAGACGGAATGGTTGTAAGTTGAGGACTACCTGTAATTCTACCTGAAAAAAGGTTCCCTATACTTCAAAAAAACAGCGAAGGGAAGAGAGGCAAGTGTAGCCAAAATGGCGGCTTTTACCTCATGACAAAGTCCGCTTGATTGATCTGCTTGCCGCAGCGGCTGTTCTTCAGAATGCCACTGTTGCCCACCACAGAACATCTCTTCAATGGCCGCTGGAATGGAATCTCCTGGCAAGAGAAAACAGGAGCCACAATCAAACCTGGAAAAAGAAGCAATGCATCTGGTGTTTTTTAGAAGGGTTGAGGGAGCCCAATATTGCTGGAGAACAGACTTTGGGTCTTCAAGAGACACGCTTTGTATCTACCTTACGAGCGATTAAACTTTGGAATTCATCAACACAAGATGAATTGTAGTTGATTGGACCAATTCAGTCCAGTTCAAGAAGTCCTGGGATCAAAGGCTATAAGAACATCTCTTGGGAGACCAGAAGGCTCCTTGTGCAGTTGTGAACTTCTGGATTAGATGGGACAGATGTGATCCAGAAGGGCACTGCTTATATTTTTACATTTTCTATGGGTTTCTGAACCTCTGCGTTTCCTAAAACCATAACCAGAGTAGGATTTGAACTACAAGGGGCCTTTGAAGGTCAGAAAATAAATCTCATGGATTGCACAGCACAGGATGCCACTTTAGAGGCAATGAGAAAGGTGACACTTGCAGCTGGATACAAACATTTTACATGATTGCTTTCCTTTTTCCCAGTAGCAGGAAAACAGCTGAACTTGTGGCATAACAGAAAAACTACATGTAGTGAGTTAAACTATACTTAAATATCAACTCAATACACTGTAGTAGACCTGAGCTTGCAACCACTGAGAAGGCGACTAGCCAAATGTGGAGAAGAGATTTGAGAGGTCTATTCTTCTTGTATGGCAGATGTAGGCAATCTTCTATGTGTTTCCTAATCACAGTTCCCAGCAATCCCCATCAAAGGCCCTGCTTGCCTTCAGAAGTTGTGGGTGCTCCATCACTGGAGGTTTCTAAGAAGAGATTGGACAACTGTTTGTTTGAAATGTTATAGGGCAGGGGTCTTCAAACCTGTCCCTTTTATGACTGGTGGACTTCAACTCCCAGAATTCCTCAGCCAGCATGCCTGGCTGAGGAATTCTGGGAGTTGAAGTCCACAAGTCATAAAAGGAACAAGTTTGAAGACCCCCGTTATAAGGTTTCCTGCTTCAGCAGGGGGTTGGACAAGAAGACCTCCAAGGTCCCTTCCAACTCTTGTTATTCTGTTCTACTCCACTCAGACTATTAATTTAGAAAGCTACAGAAGTCACCCATTCCTCATACAAGTGAGTGACGATTTCTGTCGCATTTATGGATCAATTTTACAAGATATACCTTTATTTTGTATTTGTTAGATGCTTTCAGACTGTGACTGAATAAGGGGATAGAACTATTTATTTTAAATAATGGGATGGAACGATTTTAAATGTAAAATAAAATATTTTCAGGCTGAAAAGCTCACATCCCTTGAAGAAAGCTAAGACACATCTCAAAGAAAATGTTCTGAAATGCTGAAAAATTGCTACGGGTATACCCTGAAATGTTTTATTTAAAAAAAAATGGACAGAGATTTAAAAAAAAAAAACTAAAAACAGTAATGGAAAAATGCAATACTACAGGTGTGTATCTATAACTGCATCCATCCATCCATCCATCCATCTAGTATTACAAACGTTTCAAGCATATTTCATTATAATTATCCATATATAATCTGTCTATAAATAAATTGTTCATAAGTCTCAAGTACCATGTATCTTCAAACTACTGTGTACTGTAATTGGGGCCATAAATTTATTTTTCAGATGTTAAAGCTTCAGTTGCCTGCTGTTTTCTCTATCATTCCCTCCTGTTTAAACAGAAGAAAAACAACTAATATATTTGACTCTGATAAGCCCAACATGATTTGCTAAGCTCTTTCTGTTCCTTTATGGCAGTGTTTCTCAACCTTGACAATTTTAAGGCATGTGGACTTCAACTCCCAGAATTCCACAGCCAGCATTGCTGGCTGTGGAATTCTGGGAGTTGAAGTCCACATGCCTTAAAATTGTCAAGGTTGAGAAACACTGCTTTATGGTAACAAAAATGATGTTTCTATCAGTGTTTTCTGCTTTGTTCTTGTCAACATGCTGCTCCAACTCAGAAATAACATTTAATGTTCAAGATTGATAGCTGTCAACACACCTGTCCACCATGAGTTTAACTAATCTCCCTTTAAAGCAGGGGTCTTCAAACTTGGCCCTTTTATGACTTGTGGGCTTCAACTCCCAGAATTCCTCAGCCAGCATTCCTGGCTAAGGAATTCTGGGAGTTGAAGTCCACAAGTCACAAAAGGGCCAAGTTTGAAGACCCCTGCTTTAAAGCCACCCAACATAGTGGCTATTACTGCATTTGATAATGAATTCTAGGGATAAATGATATGCTTTAGAAATAATGCTTTCTATTGTTTGTTCTCCTTCAGTCACATTCATTCGATGATCTTAATGCAGTGTTTTTCAAACTTGGCAGCTGTTAAGATGTGTTAAGACATCAATTCCCTATCCAGCAATTCTGGGAATTGATGTCCACACATCTTAAATTTGCCAAATCTGAAAGAAAACCACTCTTCTTTCTTTTCCCAAGACGCACAATTTCATACTTTAATTCTAGCTTTGTGTGCTCCATACAACATAATCTTCTAATCTCTTAGCTAAGATTTTTCCCAGGCCCCTTAACCAGGGACCCATAGATTATACTAAGATCTTTCCTGTGCAGAGCACATGCTCGCTCTCTCTGAACTATGGTTCCAATATATATATATTTACTGAACAGCAGCTATATTATCTATATCTATAAATGTCTGTCCGTCTGTCTATCCATCTATCTATAGCAGTGGTTCTCAACCTGTGGGTCGGGACCCCATTTGGGGTCGAATGACCATTTCACGGGGGTCACCAAACAACGCAGTCCGCCATTTTTTTCCCCTTTTCCTTAGCTGTGCTACTCCCTTTTATTCTATTGGCTTTTGAAAGCCAATAGAATAGACTCTCTTGAATAGAGTCTAATTCTATTGGCTTTCAAAAGCCAATAGGAATTGTCCAGGCTATCTCTGCCCTGCTGAGCCCGCCAAAAGTCCCATTCTGCAAACGGTGCTGCACCAGTTGAGTAGTCCTCGACTTACGACCGATTGAGTAATCCTCGACTTACGACCGGTTGGGGGGTCGCAGCATTAAAAAGGTTGAGAACCACTGATCTATAGGATCTTATTTCTTTGCAATTATCTGGTTGTTAGCACTCTCCCTGAGAGCTCTTGAGGCCACTTGGGGCTTTATTTGTGCCCTCAGGGTCATCTGTATCAGGATGCAAATGGTGGTGGAGTCTTTTTGGACACTGCTGCAAGGGCTGCGTTGTAGACAGGAGGTAGGTGGGGTCTTATCCTTCCCCCTCTGTTGAGACAGGGCTGCTCAATGTTAACACAAATGGCCTCTTTCATCCCTCTTTCAACCCAATGGTCCTCTCTATCCAGAACGCGGACTGAGGGCACAATAAATCCTCAAGTGGCCTCAAGAGCTAGCTCTCAGGGAGAATGCTAACAACCAGATGACTGTAAAGAAATACGATCCTTCCAACACCCCCCCCCATCCTGTCAGAATAATCCCTCCATAGCTCCCACCATCCTGGCAGAACTGATGAAGCTTTTTGTATGAAAAGGGAAACGTCTTCTTCCTCAAGGAAAAAAAACAGTCAAGTTGCCTTTAAAAATAAACACCTTTGAGATAGACAGTCGTTCCAAGTAGGTCTTGAATTACAACTGGTCACTTAGTGGTCATTTAAAGTTATGACAGACATCGCAAAAGGTACTTACAACCCGGTGACAAGAGTTAAACAATGTGACGGCCACAATAGACAGTATAGCTGGAGACATGTTAAGTATGGAAATTGGTTCTTCCATGTCTTTTAAACAACTGCACGTGGGACCCTTTGTTGACTGTTTGATTTAGCTCTGAAGGATGCTGCTTTCAGCCTTTCTCATGCTTTCCAGCTGTCTCATGCTTTCCAGCTGCAAGTTGTGAAAGCATGAGACAGTCATGATTTTTCCTGGCCAGAAAGCTGCTAGTAGCACTGTGTTGAAAGAAAAGTCTTCATCATGATTCATCCAAGCCGGGGATAAACATGGCGACTGCTTTAGAAAGAAGACTGCAGTTTATTGAAGAGCCAGACAGAAAAGATGGCTCTGGCAGGAAAGAGGAGAGAAAAAAAAGGGCTGAGCACACGTGGGGAGTGGATTTTTATACCCCCTGAAGCCTTTTGTTTGGAGTTGCTTCCTGTTCCTGTGGCATGAACTTTGACCTGAGTCTGAGTGTGCTTTTCTGGTATTCTGATCGTGATAGGTTAATCCTATTGTGTCCCAAAGGTCATATCCTGCTTCCCTGGTGCTGAGGCTAATGACTCTTAGAGTTTGCGTGGGGTATGCAGATTTTAGGTATCTTTGTCTTCCTAGGCTTCTAGCTCCAACTTTTCTGAATGGTCTGCATCTGCATTTGTAGAGAGCTGGCTTCTGCTTGGGGGAGGGAGACCTGGGGCTATCAAGAAAAACTGGGCATGCTTTCCTGCCTCTTTAAGATCCTTGGAGGAAATATATTTTCCTGCCCTTTTAATATTTCCTTCTCTGCCCAACTGTAAGCAAGACACTTTCCCCCAAAGTCCTCCCTTCAAAAATTTGGATTAAGTTTACACATTAATCCTGATTATGTACTATCAAGTTGCCGTTGACTCAGTTTTATTGTGGTCTCCGTAGAGCAGGGGTGTCAAACTGCCAATCCGCGGGCCGGATGCATCATAGCGAAACCGCGCCCACCCCATTGCCGGCAATGGAAAAAAAGTCGCGATACATCGCAACACATCACGTGACGTTGCAAGTTTGACACTCCTGTTGTAGAGGCATGGTGGAATGCAGTGTTAAGATCAGCTGGAGTGACCCTGAGTTTAAAAGCAGGTAAAAATCAGCCCGACAGCAATGGCAGACATAATTTTTCAAGAAGGCTCTTTATCCAGGAAGAAATATACTAAACATTAGGTCGATAAAGCTACCATTCTTTGAAATTCATACTACATCATTTGAAACTTTCAAAAATAGGTGTTGTTTTTAGAAAAAGAACACAAAACTCCTGAGCAATTTTGGAAAGCAATATTTATTTTCCCCTGAAATACCTATTTATAGTGGGATGGTGTATGAATGGGTGTTATTTGTCAGCGGCAGGTTTTAATCTACTTTTTCATTTTAGAAAATGAAATAAGGAAAGGGAGCTAGGAAATTACAGGCAACAGGGAGAAAGCAGAGCTGCTTAACTCATACTGTGCGTTAGTCTTCACACACACACACAAAAAAAACATAGTCCAACAGACCAAAAAAACCCACTGCAAAAGACATACTAGAAACAAAAATCAAAATAAGCAAGAAAATGGTAAAAGAACACCTATCCAACCTTGACAAATATAAATCACCAGGACTTAAAAGATTATATCCCAGAGTTCTGAAAGGGTTGGCAGATGTTATCTCAGAACCATTGCACCACATCTTTCACAAATCCTGGAGCATCGGGGAAGTATCCGAGGATTGGAAAAGGGCTGATGTGGTCCCCATCTTCAAGAAAGGGGAAAAAACGGAGCCAGGAAACTACAGACTAATCAGTTTAACATCAATACCTGGGAAGATCCTAGGAAAGATAATAAAAAAACAGATCTGTGAACAACTAGAAGCAAACAAAGTCATAATTAGCAGCCAGCATGGGTTTGTTAAAAACAGATCATGCCAAACCAATCTTCCCTCATTCTTAAAGTGATCAAACTAGTAGACCAGCAAAACGCAGTGGATGCAGTATACCTAGATTTCAGTAAAGCATCTGACAAAGTGGACCACAACCTACTCCTTGGTAAGCTAGAAAAAGGTGGAATAGACAACATCACCACCAGATGGATCTGTAGTTGGCTGACAAGCCATACTCAACGAGTAGTCCTCAATGGCCCTACATCCACATGGAGAGAAGTATGCAGTGGGGTACAAGGTTCCGTCTTAGGCCCAGTACTCTTCAATATTTTCATAAATGACTTAGACAAGGGAATTGAAGGGGAACTCATCAAATTTGCAGATGACACTAAACTGGCAAGAGTAGCCAACACCCTAGAAAACAAACTCAGGATCCAAAAAGATCTTGACAAACTTGAACAATGGGTCCTATCCAACAAAATGAGTTTCAGTGTGGAGAAAAGCAAAGTCTTACACTGAGGAAGGAAAATCCAAACGAACAAATACAGATTGGGTGAGACCTGGCTCAAAAACAGTAACTGTGAGAGGGACCTTGGAGTCCTAGTAGACAATCACTTGACTAAGAGCCAGCAGTGTGCAGCAGCAGCAACCAAAAAAACTAACACAATCCTGGGTTGTATAAACAGAGGCATAGAATCAAGATCACACAAGTACCGCTTTACAAAGCCCTAGTAAGACCACACCTCGAATACTGCAGCCAATTTTGGTCACCATATTACAAAAAAGATGTTGAGAGTTTGGAAAAAAATCAGAGAAGAGCAACTAAGACGATCAAAGGCCTGGAGACCAAAACATACGAAGAACGGCTGCGGAACTTGGGGTTGGCTAGTCTAAAGAAAAGAAGAAATAGGGGAGACATTAAATAAACCACGATGTGCAATCTTGACAACAGTGATGTGTTCAACAAGCCCTCCTTACATGTGCACAGAGCATGCTGGGAAGAGCAAACTGACCTCGCCCAGCATAGCCTCGTCACTAACCTCTGGAAAGAGTGAGAAGGTTTCGTTGTCGATTGTGAAGTAGTACAGAAATTCGCCATCGTACCAGACGCTCTTTCCCACTGGCGAATTTTGTTTCGTCATTGCAACGAGATGGCTCGGATCGCAACAGTCTTTGAGAAGTTTCCTAATAGAAAGAGAAAGGAGAGAAGGTAAAGCAACCATGGTAGACATTATGATAAGAGGCATTGGTAAGCTTTCTAGAGCACAATCAGGCAAATCCTCAACCCAAAGCTGGTGGTAGGATCAAGATCCAGATATGTTCTTTTTCTAGGATAGTCCACGGACACTAAAACTAATCCATCCTTCCAGGACTGTCAGGAGTTACTTCTGCCTCTGAAGTGTTTTGTCATTTAAAGCAGGGGTCCCCAATCCCCAGTCTGTGGACCAGTACCGGGCTGCGGCATGCCAGCAACCGGTCCACCACAAACAAGCAAAGCCCCATCCGCGGGATGTAGGCAGCACACCAAACCACGCCCCCTCTGGTCCGCGGAAAAGCCTCTCTCCACGGAACTGGCTCCTGGTGCCCAAAAAGTTGGGGACCTCTGATTTAAAGCAGTGTTTGAGGGATCCTTGGTGCTCTCTGAGCCTGTTTGTTTTCTTGCAGACGTTTCATGACCCAAACTAGGTAACATCATCAGTGCTAGCAGTTTGGGTTATGAAACATCTACAACAGTGGTTCTCAACCTGTGGGTCGGGACCCCATTTGGGGTCGAACGACCATTTCACGGGGGTTGCCAAACAATGCAGTCCACCATTTTTCCCCCCTTTTCCTTAGCTGTGCTACTCCCTTTTATTCTATTGGCTTTTGAAAGCCAATAGAATAGACTCCCTTGAATAGAGTCTAATTCTATTGGCTTTCAAAAGCCAATAGGAATTGTCCAACTGTCTCTGCCCTGCTGAGCCCGCCAAAAGTCCCAATCTGCAAATGGTGCTGCAAGTTGTCTGCAGCGAAGGCGAGCTGTCTGGAACTTTCCACCCCTCCCTGCTGAGCAACTACTAAAAACGTAAGTAAAAGAGGGCCAGGGGTGGGAGGTGGGAGGCCGATGGGCGCAAGGAGGGTTGCTGGCGCGCGTGGGGCCCGGCGGGTGCCTTACCTCCCTTGGTCTGGGCCAGCTGGTGGCCCAGCCGGTGGTCAGCCTGCTCCGTCTCTGCCCCTTGCCAGCTACGCCTCCGCTGGCGCAGGGGGCGGCACCACGCATGCGCAGCGCTCCCAGGCAGGGAAAGTCCTCGACTTACGACCGGTTGTTTAGTCCTCGACTTACGACCGGTTGGGGGGTCGCGGCATTAAAAAGGTTGAGAACCACTGATCTACAAGAAAACGACCAAGCTCAGAGAGTGACGAGGACCCCTCCTTTCAACCTGTACTACAAATATTCTCCTTTATTGGTAAAGCAGTGTTCCTCAATCTCAGCACCTTTAAGATGCTGACTGGGGAATTCTGAGAATTGACCTCCTCACATCTTAAAGTTGCTAAGGTTGAGAAGTGCTGATCTAGAGGTCCCTGAACTTCTGCAACCTTGAGATCGCCTTTAGCTGCCCAACATTGCCCAGGCATGTATGGATGTTATAATGGGAGCCAATTGCAGCATCCCCTTTATACTTCCAGAGTCCACCTAGATGGAATTCTGGGAGTTGAAGTCCACATGTCTTAAAGTTGCGAAGGTTGGACACCCCTGCCCTACACCATTCTTAGCGTCCATCTGGGCAGATTGACTCACTTCCTGATAAAGGATTGGGCAGCAGTTCAGCCTCCATTTTGAGATGAGATATATGAAACTGAAGCCTCCTGGTAAATAAAAGTGACCCTGGAGAACAGAGCATTGCTTTTTATGAGAAACGCAGAGGAGAACTGCTTGTTACTCATTCTGCTTTCATCTAAAACAGGGGGTCTTCAAACTCGGCCCTTTTGTGACTCATGGACTTCAACTCCCAGAATTCCTCAGCCAGGCACGCTGGCTGAGGAATTCTGGGAGTTGAAGTCCATGAGTCATAAAAGGGCCGAGTTTGAAGACCCCCTGATCTAAAATAATTCTAGAGGTTGGGTCCTAGAACTCTAAGCAACTTGGAAGAGAAGCCTACAGTGACCTTGGCCAGTTCCTGCCATCTGTGACTAAGGAGGTGATTTTATCGTCATCATGCAGCTGATAAATCCTTCACTTCTTTCTTTTTCTCGTTGCTTCTAAGCCAGGGGTAGGCAACCTTGGCTCTTTTAGGACTCGTGGACTTCAACTCCCAGAATTCCTGAGCCAGCATACCCCTGTTCTAAGCCTTCTTAGCACCATATGTTTGCTAAAAATTGGATTGCATTGAAGCACCTGGAGGTAATAAAAATAATACAGAAGAGGGAGATTCACAAGCAAAAATTTGGACCCTGGGGCTGACTGACTTAGAAGAAAAGAGGGGAGAACTGCAAAATGATCCAACCTTGAAATAATATAGGGCAGAAAATAGTTCCTGATAATTTAATCTCTCAAAAGCATTTCATGAAAGAAAGACCCACTGACTTCAATGGTTGATTTTTAGTTTTGGTTTAATTTAGTTTAATGAGGACTCAGATTGTTGGGGGTGAGCTGCCCTCCTCCCTGCATCTAAATATTGCAAGACAGTGCTTAGATTCAAGTAACCAAGTCAAGGAATGATCATATGCAAAGGTTGGTCTATTTTTATAGGTTAGTATTTTGTACAGATCTGATTTACCCTTGAGGTATTGTGAAAAGCCAGATTTATTTAGTAAAGAGGATAAGCATTGGGTATGAATGTAGTTATGCAATATTTCCTGTTAGAGAATTTTAATTTCTCTGTTGGTAAAAATACCAGTTGACTGCATTTAGCTGATTCAAATAACCTTTATATTCATATCAAAATATTTACAATACCATACATTCTTCTTTACAACAACATAGCACAATGAAGACTTCTTACAGAGAGATACAGAGACAGACCTGAGACTGAAAATCCAGCTCCTAACTCAATACCTTTTTTGCACAGACTCAGTAGCACTTTTCTCACACTGGCTGACTGAGTTACCCCATGACTCTTCCTGCTCATGAATATTCCAACATTTCCCTCCTCCTGCTTATCCAAATATTTACTGCACATACCAGGCTTGGTAGTTTGGAATACAGTAAAGGTTTTTCCAATTCAGGAAATCTCCAACAGTGGCCATCAAATGATTCCAGAGAAATGCATGAGCTGGTACTAGAGGTAATGATATGATAGTATTAAAAAAAAACCCCACTCCTCCCTTTTTACGACCCTGTGTAAAGATCAATAAAACTCATAATTTCTCCCTTTTCTGTGCTGGTTAGGATGAGTCTATGGCAGTGTTTCTCAACCTTGACCATTTTAAGGCATGTGGACTTCAACTCCCAGAATTCCACAGCCAGCAATGCTGGCTGTGGAATTCTGGGAGTTGAAGTCCACATGCCTTAAAATGGTCAAGGTTGAGAAACACTGGTCTATGGGATTGCTTCCAACTCCGAGCGCTTCCTTTTACGCAGGACCCCAACCAGAACAGGTATAAAGGAGAACATTTAAGATGATCAGGGGCCAGTGTTTCCTTGGATCATTTCTTCAGAATCCCTGCCCCCCTAGTCTGCAGCAAAGGAACATTTCAGGTGTATTTGTGCCAGGCTTCAACATGCACAGGGAAATTTTCAACCAAAATGGAATGATGATGATGATGGAGGAGGAGGAAAGAAGAAGAAGGAGGAGGAGGAGAAGGAAGAAGAAGAAGAAGAAGAAGAAGAAGAAGAAGAAGAAGAAGAAGAAGAAGAAGAAGAAGAAGAAGAAGAAGAAGAAGAAGAAGAAGAAGAAGAAGAGGAAGGAGAAGAGGAAGGAGAAGAGGAAGGAGAAGAGGAAGGAGGAGGAGGAGGGAAACTTTTAGCGAAAGGGAGAAGAGAGCAATTAAGGATTTTATTTTGAAAGCAGCTTAAAGAGGGATTTTTCCATGACATTTTGCAGTCCTGGTGGCAGGTAAAGCAACTAAGCTGAAGGAAGTCTTTATCACTGACACACAGTTGCAGCGATTTGCATTTTAAAAACATTCACAGCACAAACCACGTGTAAGAACCATGTCTTCATTCTTTCTGCCTTATTTACTCAGCTCTTTATTTCCGTTCTTCTCTGCCCCCCCCCCATTTGAATTGCTTTTAATCTGTAGAACATGGATTAATAAAAATTAATTCTAAAAGTATATTCTTTGCTAACACGATTCCATTTACAAAAACATCTATCCATGTTCAGCACAACAATGCTTTTGATGTCTCACATAATCCAATGGGGGGGGGTGGTTAAATTCCCTCTTTTCTTTCTTTAGTTGGATGGCAACAAGTATTAGGGGCATACAAGAATTCGCCCGCCTGTCTTAATGAACCGTTTCCTAATAAATATTCCAATCCAGTACTGATTTTTCCAGATGGAGGCCAACCCAGTACATTGTCCAATCTGCTTTATTTCCCTGTGAAAAAGCTCTTTTCTTCTTTGAATCACAAACTCATTTCCTTGTCCAGCTAAGTCCAATTTCTCCAGCAAGAGACAAAGTTTGCCATCGCCATCCCTAATCTTGGTTCACTATGTGCCATCAAGCCATTTTTGACTCCTAGTGACCGCACAGATATTCTCCAAGATGATCTGTCCCTAACCTGGTCTTTCATGTCTCTCAATGGTGGACTCATCACCATCATAACTCAGTCCCATCCACTAGGTTGCTGGTTGTCCTCTCCCTCTCTTTCCTTCCATCTTACTCAGCATTACTGCCTTTTCCAAACCTTCAAGCATCTCTTGAACCCATACCCAGGTCTTCCTTTATCTCTCTCACAATTCACAATTTCCATAATCTCAACTAGTCCTGAACCATCCAATTCTTTTGAATGTCCAGCCAGCTTTCTATTTACCAACCTGCTTCACCTCACAATTAAACTGGACAGCCAGTTTTGTACATTGGTTAAATAGCTAATTTAGAAGCTGGGAGGCTGTGGGTTCTAGCCTGCCTTAGGAATGGAAACTCATTTCTTTTAGCTCAGCCTACTTCTTAGAGCAGTGGTTCTCAACCTGTGGGTCGGGAGCCCATTTGGGGTCGAATGACCATTTCACGGGGGTCACCAAACCACACTGTCCGCCATT